AATTATTTTAATAATGTTTATGATAGGGAAAAAGCTTAACTTCTCACTAGCCTATTCTTTATCACATAAAGTTTAAAGGACCTATGATAAGCTTAAGTAAGATCCATTAAAAACAGATTAAGATATTTTTGTAACGAACTATTAGCAATCCAACATATTTGATTTGTTTTTATTTTTTTTCCGTGTTCCAACACCCAAACCTCCGGAAATATGCTACTCAAATATTATTTGTTTAGGCAAGCAATTAAAAGTGGATGGCCACAATATGAGTTGCTGAAGTGCCCGACGGCAATGATTGTTAAAATGTTGGCAAATTGGATTTTTGCCAGCCAGCGGCGCGCAGGGAAATCTGGTGAATTCTGGCCAGGTCAGTTGGTCACTTGGTGGCTCCCGCTCTCTGATAATGGGGCTCTCGTCCAGCAAAATAGGCGTAAAATGAAACTTTTAAGTACTTTATGGCCAGCACTATAAAAAAAATAAAAACAACAGCAGCGACGGCAACCAAACACATCTGCCATGTGGCCGAGCCAACAACTTTTACCTCCCATCCGCCCACGCCTGCAACTAAAAACAACATTCAGTGGCAGAGGGGCAGAATCTGAGATGTGCTGTGGCCATGGAAAACTTTCCCCGAAAACAGAAACGATGAAGCAACTTTTGGTCATATTCTAAATATCACACCGGTTGTAAAATGATTATAAAACATAATGGTGGTGCCCGTCTATTCAGTGGAAGGGAGTTCGAAACCTACATAAGTATCTGATGAAAATCGGATTTCAGCCTGGGAGATTTTGATTCCTATCACAGCGAAGTAAAACGGGGAAGTGTTTGGTTACTAGCCAACCAGAAAATATTATAAAATATATGTTTCTTTTAGATAATATATAATAATACATAGATATCAGATATTCTGTGAGATTAAATGATTAGCGTAACTCATTCTATAGTTTAAAAGTATAGAACAGCTAGACAAAATAATGATTAACGAAATGGTGCAGGTCAAAACAAGTTCCACCTTTTAAAACTCATAATTTAATTTTCCATAGGTTGGGATTTAAATCTGAAAACTTTAAAATTTTTCCATTTTTGCTGAAATTGATGCAGTTTTTCTCGAAATCAGTCAAAATGTTGAGGATCTTGAGTTTAGGTCGTACAAAACTTGAGTTAAAACCAAATAGTAATTCTTAAATCAAATCTAAAATTTTCAGTACCAAGTAAGTGAGTAAATCGTTGGTCTTTGCCAACTTGTATAAGACAATTTGTATTACTTTTCGTTTAAAGAGCTCGAAATCAAATTAATTTGTTTTTAAATCCTTAAAATTACCTTTTTTATTCCGTCCTTCACTAAGACCAGCCAAATGACAACGCAAAAATGAAGATATTCCCTGAAAAAGAATGCACATCAGCCAACAAAAATGATAACATTTTGGTAGAATTTCATTATCATTTCCGGTCCTTCCTTTACCAACTCTGGTATTTAGTGGTCCGAAAGTATGCTACACTTTTCTGGGTATGACCGTGTGTGGGTGTGAAAAGCGCCGCTGACATTTCAGGCACGTGCGTGTGAAGAGGTCGACGGGTGGCGAAAAATGCTTTGCATAGTTCGGGGCGCGTGCCGAGATCAAAAACCGTCTCCGCTGACGATAAAATGACAGAGCAATAGCAGGGAAAAACACAACAGCAGTGGCAGCTACAAACAAAAAGCGTGAATCAGGCGTCAGCAGTTGACAATTGAAGTTTTTGTTTGGCACTCACATTACGACAACGGGCTAACAGGGCGTATGCGCAATGCGAAACCAGCCAGCAGTCGCCATTGAAAGCTGATTGACTAGAGAGAGGTCAGGCATCAAAAGCAATAAAAATCGTCTTGATGCCAGGGCCAACAGCAGTGGCATCTATAAAGTAAATTCTACGCATAATCATAAAGATTTTTCATAAATGTTTAACAACGTTTCAATGCGCTTACTGAAGATGAAGAAATAAACAAACATTTATTAAAAAACAAAAATAGACAAAAACAAAAAATACCGAAGGGAAGGTTTACTTCTAAATATTGTCAAGCAAATGTATTTTTAAATGCAGGTTTGCCTGAAAAATTTATGCAGAGCAGGAGTTTAAATGCCAAATTTAACGTTTTTTTAATAAAATAACCAAATAAGGGACATGTAAGAAAACCAAAAACCTACAACATTTCTTCATTTTCCTTTTACCCGGAATTCATCTATATTTACAATCCATGAGTTTAACTGCCATATAACTAATTCCCTTTATCGATTTTCAATGCAAAACATTCAACAGCCTTTTGGTTAGTTTGAAATTGCCCCGCAAGAGTATTTAAACTTTTGTTGGCCCCTGAAAAAATCTCTGGATATACATACATTCATACATATATGTATGTGCGGATTGAAATGTATTTGAAAATGGCAATTTACGCACTGTTAGGGACAGTTCAAAAAAAGATTCAGCTGCAGGCAAGGCATCCAGCGTGTCCCAAAATGTTTGCCAAGGCCATCGGATATATTTGGAAGGATACAGGGAGACAAAAAAGGGAGGGCTACGTAGGATGATATAGGAAGGAAATGGGGGGGAAAAAGCCCAAACCTTCGAGCACATTGATGTGCATACGTATATCTTACTGATTGCCGATTTGATTACGTCAGTGGTCCGAGCCCGAAAGTCCATGTCCCCTGGCATGTTAAAGTCCTGAAGCTTCGGACCAAATTATGCCAAGTATTTGCTTATTAGTTTTTTTTCCTCAGCCCCAAATAAATTGACATTTGCTATTAGAAAAAGGTTTGGCCTGAAAGTGCAAAAATGCGAAAAGCTCTAGAAATGTCTTTTGGGCTAGGGGGATACACATATATTCGATATGATATGGTCTAGAAAGGCCATTGAACGTATCGGCATTTACAGATCGACTACGAGTACGCTTGGGACATTTCACATTTGTGAGTTGTGAGATGGCTTGTGGGAGGGTCACTTCGTGCTCATGGCAAGTGGCGATTGAACAGCAAATAAAGGAAGAACTTTTACCTCAAAGTTGGACACATCATAAAATTAGCAATTTTATGTTGAATGGAGAAGATAATTTTATTTCATTTTTTTCCACAAGGATTTTAAGTATTTTATTGGACTACAATGGATTGATTTTAATGGAATGGTTTTAAGTTTGTTTAAATATAGGACATTTTGAAAAGAAAATAATTAATCAAGATATAAACAAATTAATGTTCTCTCTTTCTGTAATCCAAAGATTATATCGTTCTCGATAAGCCTAATGAACGGTAATTTTACAAGCAAAATGTACAATCTCCACGAGCATCTCCCAGGCTCAAATGCACCCACTTCGATGACAATTCAATTGGAACCCGGGAAATAGTAGCAGCATCTAGATAAATACTGACTGAGGAAAAGCCAGAGTCGAGGAAAAAGCGCCATGCCAGAGTCAAATCTCGAAAATGCCGCCCAATAAGCAGCTCAACGTGAAATAATCTTACGGCAGTAAGTACTTCCAAAGAACTCACCCATCGCCACCCCGGAAAATCTTCTACTACAGCCAAGAAACTTCTGCACAGAGGAAAACAAAGAAACATAAATGTCTAACTACTACCTAATTTTTAACTACGCTGTGAAATTACTTTTTATTTGAAAGATTATATCTTAAACTAATTTACTCGTTCTAAAAATATATATTTTAAAAACAACACTAATGAAAATAATTTTTAATCTATTGCAACAGATTAGGGCAATGTAAAAGTAAATTAATAAAAATCTTAAATTTTGTAGTAGCGACAAAAATATAGTTAAAAATATTTACATTGAAAGTGTTAACATGTTTATTTTATTTACTTAATATTATTTATAATTGTATTTATTAGTTTTATAAAAGAGCATTGCATTTTAGGATGCAAATAACATGATGAATTTTATTTTTCCAATTAGAATATATAATAATAAAATTCAGTTTTTTCAAGTGATATCGACTCCCAGTGTCTTGCTGCTACTGGCTGTCGTTATTCCCAGGACGCAAATTATGCATTAAGCTGTAGAAAAATGCGGCATAATGTTATCAGCGAAGGCGACAAGGCGGCTGAGTGGGGATTGTGCGAGAAGGTGATTCCCTCCTTTAGTCGGGAGCAATCAAAATGTGTAAATTACAACTGGCAGGCAACAAATCCTCATCGCGGCCGTGATGTCCGTGCACATCCTCCCGTTACAGGGATCTTGATCACACCAGACAGCAGCCAGAATTGCAATTTCCACTTTAATCTCCGCCGCACACGATGTTCGGCCGCAGCTTATAATTTCGTTTATAATTACACACAAGCCAGAAAGCCCAGTCTGCATTTCCAGCTGCACTCTGGCGCAGGACGACAAATGTTGTCAACGCTGCAAAAGTGCTGTCCCGAAAACCTGGCGGCAACACTCCCCTAATTAGCGCAAAACTGGGCGGATGTGAGCCCATCCGAAGGGAACCGTAACCAGCTAACCTGAACCGGACTGAACTGAACTGCTGAACTCAACCAGCAGAGCTGCTGAATTTCGAGTGGAAAGTGGCATCTGCCATCTGGTGTGTGGCATTTGCGAATTCCAATCTGGCCGGTGGCAAAATGCACTGCACCCTGAAGCCGGTAAATCGATTTCAGTTTTGGCCAATCAATTATCCACAGCCTGGGACCATAATGACACGAGGAATTGCAATTATCAAGAGAATTTCGCCAAGCGATTTATGACTTAATGAAATAAGTTAATTTTGTTCAAATCATGCACGCAATAATTAAATTGACTATAATTAGTATTTGAATAGTTTTAGTAATTAATCAATTAGGAAGTCTTACTCTTAAAGCTATTTAATTATTTGTAAAGTGCACATTTTGATAAATTGTTAATCCACAACTGAAACTTATTTTAATAAAACTAGCAAGATAAAAACCGTTTTTATTTTTTCAAGATCTCCATCATTTAGCTGTCTACTTTATTACAACTCCTTTTACATTTTGTGCTAACAACTCGTTTGAGAATATTCTCCCAAAATTTAAAAATATATCAGACACATTCAACCATTAAATATGACATCAAAAATATCCCGCGAAACGCTCTATGTGGCAGTCAAAAATATTTTACAGGTCTCACAAGGCAAAGAAAGCGAACGCCAAGAATCCGTGGAGCTGCAGATTGGACTCAGAGACTACGATCCCGAAAAATGCAAGCGATTCTATGGAAGTGTGCTATTGCATCGCCTCGCAGTTCCACAATTAAAGGTGTGCGTCCTCGGAGATCAACAGCATTGTTGTCAGGCCAAGGCTATTGGAGTTCATTGCTTGGATGTGGAAGCCCTCAAAAAACTTAACAAGGATCCGAAGTTGGTTAAGAAATTGGCCAAGTCTTACGATGCCTTCTTGGCATCCGAGTCGGTTATTAAACAAATTCCTAAGCTACTGGGTCCTGGTCTTACCAACGCCGGCAAGTTTCCCACTCCTCTGACTCATAGGGAGTCAATGAGTACCAAAATCAAGATACTCTCCACCAAGAAATTGCTGATGGAAAAGATGGCAAGTCTCTCCGTTAATGTTGGACATGTTGGCATGCACACAGAGGAACTGACACAAAACATAAGCTTATCGATCAATTTTCTCGTATCTCTGCTGAAGGAAAACTGGCAGAATGTGCGTTCACTTCATGTAAAATCATCCTTGGGTGTACCCCATCGACTCTATTAGATCTCAATAATAGTTAAATGTATATGGCTGTTAACATTTCAATCAGTGTAAAATAAAATTTATGTATTTTTGAAAATTTTGTGGTTTGATGATGAAGAGATCATAGTTTATTGTATCACAATCATTTTAAGTAAGTTTTTTAGATTTTGTTGGACCATAAAAAATATTAGAATGGAGAAAACTTTTTGGTTTTGAATCCTGAAGACTGTCTTCTGCCTTGGTTAACTTTTAATTCCAATCACAAACAAAACCATATTTTCCGAGCTACGTCCTGTGTTTATCTTGTAGACTCTTTCAATCTTTCCCACTCCATGAACTTAACAAAATCTCGGTAAGCTGTGACATAATTTCTTTTGCCTTTCATCCCACTCTTTATTTGGCTTATAGGCAATCCCCTTTGTTAGCTCAACGATATATTATAAATTTCTTCTTGAGTTTTTCCTGGGGTGAAGGGAGATTGGCTTGAACCAAGCCGGGAAGATAAGACAAGTTCACGGCACATGCTGAGCACGCTAATCAGGAAGGCATTTTTATTGGAGATCCAGCAAAGAGGCAACAAATGTGCTGCGCTTGACTTATCCTCAATAATTATGGCTGTTTCGTTGCTGCGTCGATAAGAACGCTGGAATAATTACGGCCTGAGCTAAAACTTTTAGCAGGATGGGAAAACCGCCGCCACAGAGGCGCCTCTGAGAAAATACAAACTATGGTCTCGCATTTTGAAGTAACAAAAAGTAATACAAAATGTAAATATTTATAGGAATTTTCTCTAGCAATTATGAAAAAAATCTTTTTCATAAAGCTTTCAGCCCTATTAAATAAAATATATATTTGGAATAAGTAAGAAAATAATATTTAACATGAATGCTTAATCCTGCTATTTTATTTTATTTCTGTAACTTATATTGATTAAAAATATATATATTTTAAAGCTATTTAAAGTCTTATTAAGAGTTGTTTAATGTCCTTGTTGCTATGTGCTCGGCGACAAATAAGTGGAAAAAATATCTTATCCCAAGAAGAAGTTGCTAATTTCTTATTCAAATTAAAAATGAGCAGCTGCGTCAGCCTTGCGACTCTTGGAAACATATCGGAAAACCGAATTACGAATTCATTTCGCTTGTCAACTTTGGCATCCAGACAGACGAAGTCAGAGAAACAGATATGTACGCACATATAGACGATGGCAAACTCTCCGTTACTAATTTGAGCTTGTAAACATATTTTAACAAAGATGTCAACAACGTGTGATGCGCACACCCACTCCCAGAAACAACGACTGATGAGGGCACAACAATTCCATCTGGCCAAGTGATATATGTCTTTCATATAGGAATTCCATAAACAATGTCATTTGACATGCAAATTTATTTATGAAAATAACAGACGAAGGAAATACAGAAGCAAAGCGTTGCGAGGAAACAAAAAATCACGCACACATGCTAGGAGTAAAATGAGATGCTGAGCTAAGGAAAAGCCAGGCGACAAGAAAGGGGAAAACCAAAAAAGCGGCAAAAGGCAAACAACACAAGCTGAAGCTAAAGGAAAAACCAAAAGGCTAAGGAAGCGGCAAAAAGAAATTCAAGCGTAAAGGAAAAGTAACTTAAGCAGCGGCAAACTGGGCAAATAAAGTGGGGTTTCTGTGGGGGGAGGGGAAGGTCGTTGGGCGGGAGGTCAGTGGGTGGCTGAACCCGGACAACAAAGTGAAAGTTACGGCCCTTTCGCACACACGCACATGCTGAAAAATTCAACAGAATGTGGCGTGGCAGATAATTTTTTGTGTATCGCTTCCCATCTTTATATCTTTTCTATTGTTTCTCTGTGTTCTTGGTTGAGGGTATGGAATTTCTAAGTATGCGATATAAGCAGTTCAATGTAATTTCAGCAACCTAACCATTTTATTTACCAAAAATTTAATAAATTAGGGTAAAGGGCAATTATCTAATTAAGTATATAGAATTGTAATTATGCACAGATTAAATTAATATACATTTTCGTTTGAACTATACTTATTTTATGGCAAATGTTTTACGTTTTCTTAATTTCTTGTCTTGAATTACTTTATAACAGATTTTTTACAATGCAATATATTTCAAAACACCCTTTAATTTGACATTTGTATGGAGACCCTTTTTTTTTTTTTTTTTTTTTTGGGCTGAGGGGGGAAAATGCCTTCTGCATCTCACACTACCGTCGTATGTGTGGTATGTGGGGCTTGCACCCACTAAAAACCCCTCCTCATCAGGCCTGTATCCACTTCGGAAAAGCTTCCGCATTACTTCAAAGTGGGGCCTCTTGCGCGCGATGCGCGTTCATCTACTCATACAAAGCTCTAAGGCTCGCCTCTACTTAAATGCCAATATATACCGTAGAAAATATCCATTGGCACCCAAGGAGAGGCGATCCCCAGAGCCCGTCTGATGGTCTGCGTCCAGCCTGCCCTTTTTATACCCTTGCATCAAGGTCTAATTTCTTCAAGCGCAGAATGTCTCCGATAAAAGCGGCTACTGCTCTCCAGTTCTCTTCGCTTTCGCACATCTTGGCTACTTCGAAGTGGGGCCTCCTGCGCGACATGCGCTCTCGTCTCAATGCAAAGCTCTACGACGCGTCCGTTTCTCGTCTATCAAAATCGTTTTTCTTTGACCTTAAGATCGTTCCAACATAGGCTTTTACGTGATTCCAGGCCGCCTCACTGCTTATCATTCGATCAACTATGTTTTCAGGCGATATTTCTCCACAGGCATCCGTTAGTCCGGTGCGTTCTGATCGAAACCGCTCACAATGGAATATAGTGTGTTCTACACTGTCCCTCTCGGCGTCTTCATAAATGCACGTAGCTTGTGAGCTTTTCGCGATAGTGTGCAAAAAGGCCCGGAAATAGCCGTGGCCGGTCAGCATTTGAGTTAGGTAGTAATCAACGTTTCCGTGTTTCCTTTTTGTCCACCCCTTGAGATTGGGTATAAGCCTAGCTGTCCATTTTCCCGAGCATTCATGCTCCCACCTATTTTGCCACAAGTTCAGGGTCTCTTCTCTGCACAGCTCTTTTGTTTGTCTTGTCGCTACTCCACGTTGTTTTAGCTGGTAGACTTTTTGGCGTTCTCTTGCTAAGAGATCGATCGGTATTACACCCGCAGTGACTAGAGCTGCTGATCCTGATACCGTTCTATAGGCGCTGATTATGCTCAATGCTATTGTCCTTTGAACTTCGAGCAAGGGTTTAAGTCTGCACTTTACGCGTAGGGTGTTAGCCCAAACCTCACATCCATAAAGCAGGATTGCGTGGTTCACTTCCATTAGGAGTTTGCGTTTCGACTGGATTGGTCCACCTATGTTTGCCATGAGTCTGCTAAGTGATTTTGCAGTGTCGGTCGCTCTGCTTTTAGCGTGCTGAATTTGAGCCTTAAACGTCAGTTTGGGCTCAAGACGAACTCCTAGATATTTTATCACTTTCTGCGTCCTAATGATATTTTCTCCTACTCTCATATCTATTTCTAGTGGAAACTGCTTCGTTGTTACTAGCAACAACTCGGTTTTTTCCGTGGCCAGCTGCAAACCGTTATTGTCCATCCATCCTTTCACCCGGCGCATCACCTGGTTTAGCTTACGCTGTATGTTTTCGGGGTTACGAGCCGAGATAACTGCAACTATATCGTCTGCGTATCCTACTAAGGTCGTGTCTTCCGGCATTTCTATGCGCAGTATTTCGTCGTAGCTAATATTCCATAGCTCGGGTCCCAGTATTGATCCTTGCGCTGCTCCTGATGTTACCTTTACACATTTCTCGCCTGCCTTTGTTTGGTACAGTAGCTTTCTGTTTTCGAGGTAGCTTTGTAATATTTTCAAGAGGTATCCACCGATTTTGAATTTCTGTTCTAGTGCGTCTGTAATATTTTCCCATTTAACGCTGTTAAAAGCGTTTTTGACATCCAGTGTTGCTAAGAGTACTATAGGTCTCGAGTAGTGATTTCCTTGTTGACTTCGTAGTGCTTCGTAATATACCTTTTGAATTGCCCCTATTGTGGACCTCCCTGGTCTAAAACCGAACTGCATAGGAGAGAGTCCTCCGGCTCTGTTAACTGCTGCTGCTAGACGAGGTTTGATCATCTTTTCTAGGAGCTTTCCTGTAGTATTTAACATACATAATGGTCGATATGCTGATGGCGATAAGGGATCTCCTTTGCCCTTGCTTATCAGAACCAGCCGTTGCAGTTTCCATTGCTCGGGAAATAGTCCCGTTCGGATGCAAGCATTAAACATATCGAGTAGAAGATTAGGTCGCCTCTCTGCAATTGCTTGCAGGACCTCCGCAGGTATGTTATCGGGTCCCGGGGCTTTCCTACTTTTTAAGCTTTTTGTTGCTCTGACAAGTTCTTCCAATGTAAACATGTCTACTCGTTCTTCAAGGTCGGACACCGTTCTTCTCGACGGCCTAATCTCATGAGTAGGGAAGAGTGTTCTGACGATATTGTCCATCTGATCTACCTGTAGATCCGGCAAGGGTCTCCGGGACCTAAGTTTCTTCATGACGATTTTGTAGCCTAGTCCCCATGGGTCAGAGTTGACATCATTGCAAAGGCACTTCCATTTATTGATCTTGGATTTCCGGATAGCAATATTAAGATCCTTCTTAGCTTTTTTGTACTCCTGCTCATGGGTAGTAAATATTCCTCTACATCTTGCTCGGGTGAAGCGGCGTCTAGTTTTAAGGCATTTCTCTCTTAAGATTTGGAGATGGAGACCCTTTAATTTTAGCACACATTGAACTATTATTTCAAGAGCATTTCATCTTCGCGTACTTCCCCTGCTTAACTTGTTTTTGTGTTGGACCAGAGCAACCAAAGTGGGAGTAGGGTGGATATAAGGGTCAGAGTCCGAATCCTCCAGTTGACCCAACTCCAATATCTTTATTCTTGATGCAGACAGCCAGGCGAAACAATATGTGTACGCCCAATATTTTGATATGTGTAAGCAAAAATAAACAAGATGTGAAGAGAAGAAGGTTCAGAAAAAATACAGCAACAAAGACCCAGAAAAACCCAAAAACTCGGGCGAAAACAAATGGAAAGTCGAGCTAAG